ACCAATGCCACCCACAAACGCGGTCGCACTTTCGGGATTTAAGTTGTATAGGACATTTTGAAAACATGGAAAAGGAGGTATTTTAGACTGAATTCGTAACATTAGACAGTATGGAAATGGTAGGTATATATAAGCATCTCCGGTTATCTAGACCTTGCTGACGCCATGAATCGTTATGAAGTAGAAATACCATTGCGGTCAACTTTGCGTAAAAATGCTTATTTAAACATCCGGAAGCCAAATTATAATACAGTATCGCACTTAATTATGGTAGTGTGCGGACCGCTGCATAAGACCTCGGCTAACAAACACATCCAAATTAATTTATCAGGAGATTAAAAAGCTGAACTTTCAAAACCGGTGTATCAACCAGAAAGCCGACAAGGAAAGCTGGGGGAACCACTGATGAGCCGGACCCCTCGCAGCTGTGTCAAGCAGCGACAGAATACCGACGAAACACGTGCCTGGGGCTTTTAGCTAGTACTTAGGCTGTTAGTATGATACGGTACAACATCAGCTTATACTACTAAAGCCTGCCTGTCGGCAACAAGTGGATATTTCGCAGTGGTTGACGGGTTTCAACCCAAATATACACTTACCATTTCGGTTTACGCCTATAGACCTTGAATACACTGATATATATACCGTGAACAGAAATTAACTTCGCAGGAGATTAAAAGCTAAACAGATCCAAATACGATGCTGAACCGCATAATAACAAAAGTAGTTTCTTTTAGGTGGGAGAGCGTATCCCAAGTAACGATTAGTTACAAAGGACAACAGACTTCAGTAAGATAGGATGTGAATCCTAGAAGGATGTGTACCTTAATTGTACTGATTCATACCACTAGGATGATAGGGAATTCGAGGAAAAGTTGATTTGCTCAAAGTGCGTAGAAGATGAGAAGTGAAAAAGGCCAATTATATAACGCTCTAAATGCTGATGCATATGTAATAATCCCTCAAAGCCCCGGTGATCCAATCCTGGGATTGGGTATGACTGACTGCTGACGGCTGATAAACCAGAAGCGGCCATTCCGGTCTCCCTAGTCTTTGTCGGTTCCATTTTAATATTTACATATAAAATGTGCATATATATGCTAGGCCCAGTACTCAGTACTAGGAGCGTACTCAAGTGCATGTTTGTTTCCGGTCCCAGCTGGTATTCTGGGTTGTGATTGGCTGAGTGGAGGCAGAATAAGCCCCCGAAACATACTGTATCAATCTGCCCACACTTTCTGTCGTCCCTCCTACACACGCACACTATTAAACCTTACTAATGTTTCCAACACACTTA